GTCATTAAATGGGTGACTTAGGAGTAAGTTTTCCTTAAATTACAATACTAAACTCTTACTTGTGTGTATTCTGTTTTCGCGGTTGTCTTAGAACTTGAATCCTTTAATAACTTTAATCACTTCAATGGATCTGCTATTGTTTATCTGTTCACAACTTTAAAAAGTAGGACACTAATTTGCTGAGGGAGAATTGAACTGAATGCAGGTTCTAGTCCTGGCTCCGTCATTAATCAACTGTGCGATCTTAGGCCTTCTTTGCCTCAGTTTACTTCATTTCTTAGAAATATCTGTGGTTTCATCAAGTACGGGTATTCTTTCCACTTCCCAAGATTACAATCCCTCTAGGAATTGGTTAGTGGTTTCATGAGTGCTATAGCCAAACCAGCTGATTTACTTGGTTCTCAACTCTAGTGATAAGAGCTTCTCCAAATTGATCTAGACTTCATTCCCATTTTTTCAGCTTCCAGAACTGGTCAACATAGCTTGAGAAACTGGATCACCTCCATACCACACTGAGTCATCAGAATAAGACTTTAATTTTAATTTTTTCAACCAGACCTGTGGTTTCATTGGTACAGGATATTTCTTACATCAATGCAGTCAGACAATTGTTCTGGGCCTTAAAGGCTTAGAGAATTAGTTGCCCAGGGAGCAGAGATAGATTAAGTGAGTGGCTCAGGGTAGGAACTGTACTTGTGATTTCCCTGAATAGAGAATTACCGGATATTGTAACTCTCTCTGCCATACAGATGGGTACCTTTTCTGCAACTTATAGTCTTAAAAGAGTTGCTTAGAGCACTGAGATGTTGTGACTCTCCCAGGATCCCATAGATAGTATGTGTCAGAATTGCGATTGAACCTGGGTGTTCCTGACTTTGAGGTTACCTTTCTACCCACTATACCCTGCTGCCTCTCACTTAGACCTAGTCTTCCTCACTTTAACACCAGCTCTCCATCCACCCCACCATACTTCCTCTCTTTAACTAATTAATAACAGTGAATATTTGTGTAAGATTTTATAGCTACATAGAATTTACATAAATCATCATGTTTGACTCTTATAACACTCCTGAATGAAAGGCTGTGTGTGTGTGTGTGTGTGTGTGTGTGTGTGTGTGTGTGTGTGTGTGTGCCAGGATGCATATTATCTTAGTCTGGTAATTTAGAGAACTAGTTTGAAGCCCCAATTCTGCTACTATTTTGCTGTAGGATCTTGGGAAAATCATTTTACTCCTCTGGTCTCATTTACTCAAGGTCCTCATTTGAAAAATGAGGGAATTGGAGCACACTTCAGTTCCAAAATTCTACTATTATCTCCATTTTGCAGATGAGAAACACAGGGTAATATAATGATTTGTGGAAGATCACAGACCAAGGAAGTGACAGTAAGGAATTCAACCTAGTTCTTCTGATGCCATATTTTCCCACTATATGCAGCTTGCCATTTAGACAAGATGACTTAGGTACTAGGTACTGTGCTAAGGGTTTGGGCTACAAAGAAAAGTCCCCCCCTCCAAAAAAAAAAAGTTCCTGCTCTAAAAGAGCTCACATTCTAATGAGGGACACTATATGCAAAACAACTATGTACATAAAAGTTGTAGGTACACTCCAGGACTCTGTACTGGTGTCCCTCTCCTCTATCTGTACTCTCAGTAGGTGATCTCATCAGCTCCCAACAGTCAAATTATCACCTCTGCAGATGATTTACAGATCCACATATCTCTCCTATGCTCCAGTCCCTCATTATCATCTAAAACCTATTGGATATTTTGAACTATATCAGTAGGAACCTCAAACTCAATGTGTTCGAAAAAAACTCATTATCTTCCAAAACCCACCCTTCTGAATTTCTCTGTTATTGTCAATGAGACTACCATTCTTCTAGTCGCTTAGGTACTCAGTCACCCTTCTCATCATCCTCATTCTCCATTATCTCCCATATCTAATGAGTAGCTGAATCTTGTTTCTCCCTCAAGAACATCTCTAGCACGAGTCCCCTTCTCTCCACCCACACAGCTACCACCTCAGTTCAGACCCCACCTTTCACCAGAACTAAAGCAATTATCTCCTATTTTGTATGCCTGCCTAATGCCTCTCACCACTCTAATCCCTACCCACCTACCCTCCTCCCCCAGGAAGATAGTCTTAAAGCATAGGTATGAGCATATTATTTCCCTACTCTAACATTTCCATTACAAGAGGATCAAATAAAAACTCTGTTTTCTGTTTGGAATTTAAATGAGTGAATGAAAAAAGCATTTACTAAGCTCTTAGTAATATGCAAATTACTGTGTTAAACACTGAGTATATAAATAAAAATTTAAAGCCCTTCACAACCTGGTCCCAATCTACCTTTCCAACCTTATTACATATCACTCCTTTTCATGAACTTTATGATTCAATTTACCTAGTCTTTTTACTGTTCCATTTCTCCTCTATGCCTTTGCATTGGCCATCTCCCATTCCTGAAATGCATCTCCCTTGTGGAATGCCTAGGTTTCTTCAAGCTTCAGCTCAGGAACTACCTTCTATATGAAGCCTTTTCTGATTCCCTCAGTTGCTGATATACTCTCCTACAAAAAAAAAAAGTCACTTCCTTCCTATCTATTTTTTATATATCTACAGATATAGATGTAGGTTTGAGAGCCTACATTACATTTCAGTGTGGTCATTGTATCCCTATAACAAGCACAGAGACCAGATCAAAATAGATGCTTAATAAATATTTGTTGATTGATAGCTTAGAATAACACAAATACTAGGAATGAGCTGGAAGAGAACATTTTACTCCAACCTTCCGTCATACAGTATAGTTTCTTTCAGTTCTAAATTTCTATAATCTATAGAGTAGTACTGACAATAGACCGCACGCCCACCCCCAGCAATTCTCAGCTGCCTTTGGGAGGAGGAGGAAGGAAACAAATAAAAAACGAACAGACAAACTAGAAGCCACTGCCGGGAATCGGCCTAAAGGTGGTTTATCAAAGGTATTCATTTTACATTTGGCCTTGAAACTAAATGCACTTGAGAAAATGGAAGGAGGGCAGAAAATGTGTTGTTGACTTAAACCTAAAAGCACTTAGAGTTAATGCCCTCTCATGCCCTGATTGCACATGTATAGCCTAGCCTATAGCAAATTGCTTACCATTTCAGGGAAGAGGAAGGAGAGGGGAGAAAATGTAGAACTCAAAATTTTTAAAAAATGAATGTTAAAAACTGTTTTTACTTGTAATTGGGAAAAAATAAAGATATTATTTTTTTAAAATTCTCTCTCAAGCCCAAAAGGGCATCTATTCCACATTTATTTCTTGACTCAAATATGGGTCATGGGAGCGTTACAAAAATTGAATAAATATTGATCCAGAGTACAAACCACTTCCCAATTTTAAGTCAAGGACTTTTTGATGACTGATTAATCTTTTTGTTCCCCAGTAAGTCCTAGTTTAATAATCCATTTGTTTAAATAATATAAGTCTCTCTGGGAAGAGACAGTCCAGAACAGCATATAGGCTGCAAGAGATGGAGTCAGGGGGAAGACAGTGGCTTCAAATCATACCTGTGTAATTCACAAGTCATGTGACTCTAGGCAAGTATCCTAAGCAAACTCAGCCTCAGTATCTCATCTATAAAAAGGGGAGGGATAATTGTAGCATTACTTCACAGTGTGGTAGGGAAGATTAAATGGGATGTTGTAAAGTACTTTGCAAGCCTTAAAGTACTACATTAATTATTATTACATTATGTTATTATGAAGTAAACTGGAATATTTTACATATTACAAGTCTGCAAATAACTCGGTGCTTTGTACTAATACTTTTTTTTCAAAGGAAGTTAAAGCATAAGATTTGCACTGTTGTGTGAGACACTGAATACTGGACATATGATAGGGAGCCTCTTCAAGTGTTTTTAGGATAACTTTTGTCATTCCAGTAATACTGCCTATGATGTTGGCAATACACTGTGAAGCCCCATTCAAACTTCCCTTTTTGCTATAGTTTTTTAACTTACATGCAGTACAAGCTGTTTCTAAAGTAAAAGGCTCAGTTGATGAGATTGGGGGTACTGGGGACAGTTAGTCTTACAAGAGGAGCCTTAACACTTAATTTTCTGACTTTTCCCATAATTTCCCTTCTACCCTGAAATACTACATTACTGTTATTGTATTGTTTGGCGCTTTTTTTTTCTTTCGGCAATGAATCTTTCAATTGTTTCTACCCCACTGGGCCTCCTTTTCTTTCTCTCCAACCTTGAAAACATAAATGTTCTCTGTTTCTTTTACACATCCCAAACTATTTTCAAGCCAGAGCCCTTTGACCTTTTTACAACACTCCCCTTGTCTGACACACCATATGCTAATCTGAAAGCCCAGGAGGAGGTATGGGGTGGGGGGTGTGGGGATGGGAAACGAGGTAGTATAAATCTGGCATCTATTCAGAAATGCAGAAAATGTTAGCACAACCACTCCCCCAGTGAGGATTGCACCCCCCCCAACTCCCTTCCAGTACACTCTTATAAGGGGAGATGGGAGCTCTACTGAAATTGGAATGAGGGAGGGACACCCAAGGCATTTCAGGTTTATACTCTCAAGGCAGCAAACCCTTCACCCCTCCAGTCCATGCGTCCGTCCGTCTGTCCGTCTTTCTTCCAGCTCTCTGCCAGCATCGCAGCCTGGGGACAGGACTAGGGAGTTCACTCTCCACTGGCATCCCAGAGGACAGCTGGCGGATCAGCTGGGCATCACCCAAGCACCAAGAAGCCCGAGCCTCACGAGGATCGGACAGCTTCCGCGGACATCCCCTTCCAACCGGGCAGAGTTGGGTGACAGTTAATATAGCGGATTCTCCTAAGAGCCTACGGGGCGCAATTAATTACGCTCACAACAAAATTCACAGGGAGATCTGAATCCACCTCACCCTGGCAGGGTCTGTTTCTCCTCTCTCTCCACCCCGCACCCCCCCAAAAAAAACACTCCAACAATAAAAAGAGAATGAGCACATTACCATCCTGGCCCGAGGTCTCCAGATATTCAGTCAGGTCACAGCCAAATGCACCGGTAGCACCTTTTCGTTTCAACTTCTGTTTTGCACCCTTGTTCTTCATGAGTTAGTCCCAAAGAGGCTCACCCCCCTCTTGGTCCCTCCCTCCCCCTCCGCTTGGCACTGGGCTGAAGATGGATTCTCCTCCTCGGATCAGCGCCTGGAGCACGGCTCGGGAGGGTCACATCGGGTGGTGTGGAGGAGAGAAGGGCTCGGGATCAGAGACATCCACATGAAAGCGGACCCGAAGCGGCTCAACTCAGCCCCTCTTCGGGTGGGGGAGGGGAAGGACGCAGCCCAGCTCCGGAGGAGGCAGCGGAGAGAGCATAGCCTGAAATCCAAAGAGTTCTCATCAAAGGAAAGCAGTGGGTGGAGGAGGGCCCCGCTTCGGACTTGGCAGCTGAAGTAGATGTTATGTTGGGAGTGTCACTTCCTTGCTGGAGTCCCAGGGACTTTCACAGCCTCCTGCTGGGTCTTCTGGTGTTTTTCCTCTGCTTTAGAGGGAAGGGGAGCGGTCTCCTTCCCTCACCCCCTCCTTCACCTCCTTCCCGACTAAATATGTTCAGAGAAGGAGGAGAATATAACGGAGGGGGATAATAGGTTAGCAAACTAACAAGCGAGTGAAGAGGGAGCTTGGGCAGATCCCACAGAGAGCTTGCTTTCTTAGGCCCCGGTGTCTTGCCTTCAGACCTCTTTGGTCAAATGAAAAACAAGCATCCTGCCTCTCTCGACCGCCCTCACTCTTTCCTTTTTTTCCTGTCTTACAAATCCTAGGATCATCCAGCTCAGGAAATGCTGGAAGGAAGTTAGCTAGGGAGGTGGGGTGGGTGGGGGTGGGCGCGGAGGGTGGAAATTTTTGGCAGCCCTCTGCATATGTGTGTAGAGTAGGAGGAAGTAGGTGGGTGGGTTGAGGCGCAAAGGGGTGGGGGAGAGGACGGGCTCTTCGGAGACACCGTTCTTGAGTCTATAGATAACTGGGCAGTTTGAAAGGAAATCGCTGCTCTTCTAAAGGGCCTGCAGCAACTCAGAGCACAGGCTTCCTGTCCCACAAAGTCTTCTCTTTGAAGAGTAGAGGAGGAGGTGGGCGTTTACTTTAGGGGCTGGGGGTATTTGATAGGACTTCCAAAAAAGTTCTCTTGTATTTTTGAACTGGTATCTTTTTTTGGTCACTTTTTTTTGGGGTGACACTCCCCCTCCCCTTTCTCCTAGACAAACGTAAAGAGTAGTAACGGGAACAAATGTCCCCAGATTTGTAGTCCCCAAGGTTCTCTACTTGGTGCTCACCTCTTATCTGTCTACACTTTCTTGACACTATCCTCCACTCCTATGACTTCAACCAGCACTATCCAACAATGCTTCACCTCTGCCATCTTCTGACATGATATGCATACCCCATCACACACACCCAAGAGGTAGAAACCTCTTCTGGGACCAGGAAACAAAACAACATTCCCTTCGCTTCTGGAAAGGGCTCTTCTACTTACTGCCCAAAGGCTCCAGTCATTAACCAAATTAGAGACTTCCGGACCAAAACCTTCTTCTCTAACCACCCACCCCTCTAGATAGAATGCAAACTCCTTGAGGGCAGGGACTGTCTCTTTTGTGTTAGTATCCCCATTCCTCAGCAAGTTACTAAAGAACGCACAATGCACTTAGCTCTTAAGAAATGCTTTTTCCTTTACTCATTCATTCTTAAAGGATAAAGCTCAAATCTTATCTCTAGTTCTAACCTCTCTTCCAGACCGGGATTTCCAGCAGCTTTTGGTACGTTTGCTTCTATGTTTGTATCTCGATGTCCCACAGCCAGCTAGGACAGATAGAGAGTTTATCATATTTTCTCCTAAACCTACTTCTCTTCTGATTCAAGGAGATCATAGAATCATAAGTTTAGAGCTGGAAGATAATTCAAAAATAATAATCGCTAACATTTACATAGTGCTTCCTACGTGCTTGGGACTCTACAATTAATTATTATTTCATTTGATCCTCACGACAATCCTGGATTTTGTTGTTCAGTTGTGTCCAACTCTTTGTGACCCCGTTTGGGGGTTTCTTGGCAGAGATACTACAGTGGTTTCTCATTTCCTTCTCCAGTTTGTTTTACAGATGAAAAAACTGAGGTAAACAGGGTTAAAGCCTAGGATCACACAGCTACTAAAGTGTCTGAGACATTTGAACTCAACAGGGTGAATTTTTTTTTATTCTAGGCCCAGCACTCTAACGACTGTGCCACCTAGCTACCCAAAGCCTTGAGAGGTAGGTGCTATTATTATCCTCATTTTACAGATGAGGAAACTAAGGGAGAAAGAGGTTAAATGACTTTAACCCCATCACAAAACTAGTAAGTCTTCCTGATTCCAGGTCTGCCTCTTTATCCACTGTGCGTGATTGCTCTGGCTCACTCTCCCACAGCCAGGCCGCTGTATCTACCCCTGACGATTCTAAGGTACCCTCATGAGTTGGTGGGATGTCTCTTCTTTACCGTTGGCTAAAGCCCCCAAAGGCCGTGTCCTCACACACACTCTACACACACCCTCACACTTTATTAGGGGCCATTGGCTAGCCACAGCTATTTAACATCAAATAACTTTTGCAAATGGATATTTGCTTCAAAAACAAACCAAAAAATAAACATTTTCCCCTAGAAAATCTTGGGGCCATGCTCCTCCCTAAACCACCTCAGTGTGGAGGTGGATGGGATGAAATAGGCTCAATTTAGTTCAGTTCTTACATAACATTGGCTCTTTCAAGTTCACATCTAAAGAGAGGCTAAGGGACTTACTGGGGTCGAACAACTAGTGACTGTCTGTGGTACTAACCCCAATATTTACGAAGGTGTTAGCTGATAATACTGAAAACATGAGAGGTAGTGAATAGAGATTGGGTCTTGGAGTCAGGAACACCTAGGTTGAGTCTTGCCTCTGACACTAAACATCTCAGTGTCCTTAGGCAACTCTCTGAAATTGTCAATTACAGATGGCTACTGCTTTCTGTGCTGGAGGAAATTTTCATAGGAGTTTTCCACATTGATTAAATCACAGGTATAACTCCACCCTCTCCCATCCACCTCCCCACTCCCTCAAAAAAAAGAAAAAACAAACAACTTCAAAGCTGTTTAGTGGGCAGCTGGAGTCAGAATCTGGAGTTAGGAAGACTTGAGTTCAAATGTAACCTCATACATTCACTAGCTGCGTGACCCCAAGGGCAAATTGCTTCATCTCTGCCTGCCTCAGTTTCCTCAACTCTAAAATAAAACCACTTACCTTCTAAATTTATTGTGAGGATTGAATGAGGTAATATTTATAAAGCACTTTGCAAACCTTAAAATACTACATTGTTGTTCAGCCTTGTCCAACTCAGTGGATCATCCTGTCTGTGGGAGTTTTCTTGGCAAAGATACTGGAGTGGTTTGCCATTTCCTTCTTCAGTGGATTAAGACAAACAGAGGTAAAGTGACTTGCCCAGGGTGACAAAGCTAGTGAGTGTCTGAGGTCAGAATTGAACTCAGATCTTCTTGACTCCAGGCCCAGCACTCTATCTACTGAACCACCTAGCTGCCTCCAAAGTGACATATAAATGCTAGCTATTATTACTATTACTAATATTATTATTACTATATAGTATTCACTACCTTAAAACCTTAGACAAGTTAATTAACTTCTCCAGGCCTCAGTTTCCTCATCTATAAATGAGGGGGCTGGATTAGATGACCTCTACTATCTCTTATAGCTATGATCTATGGTCTTCTCCCTTATGACAGCACAGGCATAGGAATTTTCATTCTAAGAAGTGATCTGAAAAGTGAGGAAAGCCTTGTAGCCTGGAAGAAATAAAGCTATATATATGAAACTGGTATTTGGGGATACTTGTCACCCTCTCATTAATTACATCCTCAAGTGTCTGTCTATTCATAAGGCCAGCCTTTTCTCCCAAACCCCTCCTCTGCCTGACTTTCAAGGCTCTCGCTAATCTGACCTACATCTTTAATGGCACACCCTCCATCCTGTCAATCTCCTACCTGTTTCAGTACATTTCATTCTCATTCTAACTCTGTACCTTGGCTTCTGTAGCTGGATTACTCACCTGAAATGGCCTCTTCTTTCCTTTCTGTTTATTCAAAACCCACAAGGGCCAGTTCTCCAGCTACTTTTCCATGAAACCTTCCCTAACTGTTCCTTTTTTATTTGCTTAATTTCTTCACTGGACACCATACAATTTGAATGAAAAAAAGTATTTCTTAAGCCCTTGCTATGTGCCAAGCAAGGTGCTAACTAATGGGGATGTAAATATTAAAAAAATATTTATAGAAGCAAGCTTTTTTTTTTGTGGTGGCAAAGAACTGAAAACAAACAGGATGCCCGTTATAAACAGGAATAATTGAACAAATTAGGATGTATGAATGAAATGGAATATTATTGTGAGAAAGAAATGAGGAAAGACCATTTTAGATTTTTAGACAAACCCAGGAAAGCTTTTACGAACTGATATAGAATGAATTGAGCAGAGCTAGGGCAATGATTTATACTACAGCAAAAACATTGTAAACAAAAACAACTTTGAAACACTTAAGAACTCTGATCTATGCAATAACCAGACATAATTTCAGAGGACCCACAATGAAATATATTATTCACCTTTTGACAGAGACATGATGAATTGAAGGTGCAAACTAAAACATATTTTTAAAAATTTTTATTTTATATTTTTTAAATATTTATTTTTAGTTTTCAACATTCACTTTCATAAAATTTTGAATTTTAAATTTTCTCCCCCTCTTTCTCCTCCCCCCTCCCCAAGCTGGCATGCAATCTGATATAGACTCTACTTATACATTCATATTAAGCATATTTCCCATACAAGAATTAGAACTGATGGGAGAAACCACAAGAATGAAGCAATAAAGCAGAACAACCAAAGAAAAGGAGAACAAATAGTAGGCTTCCATCTGCATTCAGACTCCATTGTTCTTTCGCTAGATGTGGATAGCATTTTCCATCATGAATCTTTTGGAGTTGTCTTAGATCTTTGCATTGCTGAGAACAGCCAAGTCTATCAAAGTCAGTTATCTCACAATGTGGCTGTTACTGTGTACAGTGTTTTCTTGGTTCTACTCGTTTCACTCAGTATCAGTTCATAAAAGTTTTTCCCAGGTAAAACATACTTTTAAGACATAGCCAATGCAGAAATTTGTTGTGTTTGATGATGCACATTTGTTACAAGAATTTCTTTTTTTTCCCTTTTTTTTTTAAATGGGGAGGTGGGAGGCAGCAAAAATAGATTTTTGTTAATTAAAACAATAAAATAAAAATTAAAAAAATTTGTTGATGACAATGACAATTATTTCAAATGTGTTAATCCTATCTCCCCAACTAGATGTTTAGATCCTTGAGGTCAGACAATGTTTTATACCTTTGTTGGATATTCACCACAGTGTCTGACATGCTGTAAACACATAGAAAGCAATGCATTTTATTGACAATAAATTTTACTTATTGATTGATTACAATACTCTGTAGACTTGGACTGTTATAAAAGATATGAATAGAGGATGCATACTCAGTTCTTTGCTATTCAATATTCTATATGCTGCATAATGGTTGGTATAAAAAAAGGAATTTGAATGGTATAATAATGTAATTGATTGCTGTAATCGATCTTCACTGTCTTAATAGAGATCTTTCTTTCCTCTTTAGGAATACTGAGATGCCTTCCCCAGATGCACGGCAAAGCTTGGTTTTTGGCAAAATCCAAGCCAATTGTTGATGCTTTGAACTAAAATACTCAACTGAACAGCAAATGATA